AGACGGTGCAGCAAAAGGTTTGCCCTCAAGTTCAACTATATTCTATCTGTATCTGTATCTGTCTCACACACACTCTACTTCTCTTTCTATGCCATGCAGACAACACGGAGCCAGTGTGAGGAGTGCGAGATATGCTTCTCCTTGTTGCCGCCAGATGTAAGTTTTGCACAATTGATATTTATTTTGGCATCTATTTGAGTAACAATCGTTTGCTTGCAGTCCATGACCGGATTGAAGTGCGGTCATCGTTTTTGCCTGAACTGTTGGCGCGAGTATCTGACAACGAAAATCGTTACAGAGTGCTTGGGCCAGACCATATCGTGCGCCGCGCACGGCTGTGATATATTGGTGGATGATGTGACTGTTACCAAACTGGTGCCGGATGCGCGGGTTAAGGTTAAATATCAGCAGCTGATCACCAATAGTTTTGTTGAATGCAATCAACTGTTGCGCTGGTGTCCGTCCGTCGATTGCACCTATGCGGTTAAGGTGCCCTATGCGGAGCCCCGTCGCGTCCATTGCAAATGCGGCCATGTATTTTGCTTTGCCTGCGGCGAAAACTGGCACGATCCGGTCCAGTGCCGTTGGCTAAAGAAATGGATCAAGAAGTGCGACGATGACTCGGAGACGTCCAATTGGATTGCGGCCAATACCAAAGAGTGTCCCAAATGCAGTGTTACCATCGAAAAGGATGGCGGCTGCAATCATATGGTCTGCAAGAATCAAAATTGCAAGCACGACTTTTGCTGGGTCTGTCTCGGCTCCTGGGAGCCGCATGGCTCCTCCTGGTACAATTGCAATCGCTATGACGAGGATGAGGCAAAGGCGGCGCGTGATGCACAGGAAAAGCTGCGCTCTTCACTGGCCAGGTGTGTGCCGCTCCCAATATGCATGCACATCAATTGCATATGGTTTAGCTAATATATACGTCTTGTATTTCAAACAGATATCTACATTATTACAATCGCTACATGAATCACATGCAATCCATGAAGTTCGAGAACAAATTGTATGCATCTGTCAAGCAGAAAATGGAGGAAATGCAGCAGCACAACATGTCCTGGATTGAGGTGGGCCAACAAATCAAATGAAATAATAATTCTTATAGCCTGCATCCATATTGAAAAGGGAAAGGGGCCTAAGCGCTTTGTGCACAGCCAGAAGGAAGCATGTCCCAGATCTATAAAGTATTTATCAACTTGATCGGAACGACGAGCTGACTCTTTAATGTCCGCCTCTCTGTCCGTCTGTGCGAATGCATCGATCTGCTAGTCTTGAAATCCGAACATACATATATTCTCGTGTGTCATATCCAGAGCGAGCCTAACATTTGCTTTATTTCGTTCTGTTTCTATTAAATAAATAGAATAAATAGAGAACTGTTAAAGCTAGATACATAAAACTAGGTATGCGGACTCTCTTATGGGATATACAGAATACAAACATAATACTTATTTTTTGCACCTCCTCCTTTGAAATGGGAATAACATGTTTCTCAAGGTAGATTCTTGCAATTCGGTACATAAATAAAGCTAGATACAGGAAACTAACCTTGTAGGCTCTGTAATAGATTATCTAATAACAGATACAATTATAGCTCAACTCCAAAATGGGAAAACTTTCACTATGCACACTTCTGCGCAAAAAAAAAAAAAAAACTGCATCAAGATCGGACTCTAAGCACCGATTCTATGCGGAATTAGATTGCCCAAAATAGTTTTGCCCATATGTAGAGATCTTCATCTGCAGAGTGCCAGGAATTATGCATGTCCCTTGATGCCCTTTTATAGTTTGGGGTACAATATTCGATGAGATGATCTTTTAGAATGCGGGTGTAATTTCTTTTGATTTTGATAACCCTTGAGCCAGGAGCATTTGCTAAAGAGGTGGGGAACGTTTTGGCATGCCTTTGCTTAGCTCATTTTTATATCAGCTTCTGATTAGAAGATCTTGAATTTAGTTAACAGCATATATGCATATATATTAACTAAAACTTTTATTTGTTGCCAAATGGCAGGTGCAATTCCTGAAAAAGGCTGTCGATATACTCTGCCAATGTCGCCAGACCCTAATGTACACATACGTCTTTGCGTATTACTTGAAAAAGAACAATCAATCCATGATATTCGAGGATAATCAGAAGGATTTGGAGTCGGCAACGGAGACGCTGTCCGAGTACTTGGAACGTGATATTACATCCGAGAATCTGGCTGATATTAAACAGAAAGTACAGGATAAATATAGGTATACGATAAACAATATTATTATTATACACTTTCGATTATTTGTAATATAATTATAATTTGCAGATATTGTGAGAAGCGCTGCACAGTTCTGCTCAAGCATGTGCACGAGGGTTATGAAAAGGATTGGTGGGATTATACAGAATGACGCGAGTCCTGGTTGGATAACTAAAGGTGATGCAAAATGTGTAACCGAGTGTAACTAGCAATTTGGCGTTAGCAGTAGCAGTATCAGCTAGCAGTAAGCATTAACAGCCGTAACAACAATAACAGCAACAGCAACAGCAGCAGCAACAGCAACATCAACAGCAACAGCAGCGCAAGCAACAACAACAAAAGCAAATAACTTAAGCAAAAACAACACATGTAATAGCAACAACAACAACAACAAGAACAAGAACAAGAACAACAACCACACACACACACACAGAGAGAGAGGCACAACCAAATGTATGGAGTTTGAGGCAAGAACAAGCTAAATATGAGAATTGATTAAAGCCGCGCACACACAAAATTCAAGCAATAACAAATACAAAAAAAACCCCCCCCCAAAAAACAAAACAACTACAAATATTAAAATAAAATAAACAATTAATAAAATAAAACACAGGCCGTAATGCAGTTGCGCAAGTTGTTGCATACCAGATAAATACGGATTAAGCGAAAAGTTATATTAAAATCATACGATATAAAATATATATATATATATATGCATATATACATTTTTTCTCTTCGTGTTGAGCAGCAACTTAACTGATTCAAGCAAGGATACACCCACACACACACACACACACAGGCGCATTAGAAAAAGAAAAAATGCAAAAATTCATCAACATCAATTTTCACTTGGCGGCTGTTCCAGTTAAATAATAAACAAAATGAAAGCAAGCAACAGCAAATCCACATAATTATATGCAATAGAATAGATACACTCCAACACACACCCACACCCAGGCACAACCACACACACACACACACACACACGCAGTTAATATAGCAAGCAAATTGTAATAAACCGAGTTTGTAAGAATTGCCCGAATTGCGGCGCCCGTTGCATATGTTTTCGCTATGTTTGTAGTTCTAGTTTAAACGCTTAGCCACGTTTTTTTTTTTTTTTGTTTAAACGAATTTGTAAACGAAATTTTCAATTTGTTTTAAAACTATACTTCTCTTTTTTTTTGTTTAACGCTGTTTCGATTGCATATTATTTGTCTCTGATTCTGTTATCTAAACATATATACATATATATATATCTGTATATATATGTATATGTATTTACTTAGTCGCGTTTATCACAAAGCATATGAACATGTTGTCCATCATTATTTATTTAAGCAAACAAAGTGCAATTCGCACAAACAATTTGATTTGTGAGCGATGCAAATTTGCAGAATATGGAAGCAATATATATAAATATAATAATTATGTAAATGCAATATGTAATAAACAGAATTCAAGTTGTACATGTTAATAATCAACTGGTAGTAATGCACACACCCACACACACTCACACACACACACACACACACACACACACACACACACGCACGCACAACCTTAAAAATCCGTAGCTCTTCCTGAACCCACACGCTCACTCTTCGCCTTGTTTTACACGCGTTCCATCCAAATCTGCGACCACCAAACGTTTACTTCTGGTAGTATTCAACGCTGGGAGAGATGCTCCCGATCCCAGTCAAGTACCGAGAATCGATTTCTTTAAATCGTTTTACATATACATAGTTGAAATTGTTCATGGTTTCTTCTTAGGCTGCGCGCTGCTTTGAGAAAGGCGTTCGCCATGCGGCCTTTTGCCTCTGCGTTCTTCTCTTCGTTTGGCATTCTCGATTCTATAGATATACCTACTATACATCTATCTATATATATATATATATATATATATATATATAGAAACAAACAAATATATATATGTGTACATGTAACAAGTTTGTGCTACCAATAATATGTATAACAAAAGCAAAACTCATTGAAATGCTGTAAAAAGTTTAAAAGTTGTTCGAGTCGAAACAATTGAAAAAAAAAACACAAAAAAAAACAAACAAAAAACATTAAAAAAAACTATGAAAAAAAAAAACAAAAAAAAAAAAAGACAAAAATGCTGTAAAAATTATGAGAACTATGTATGTAAAATTAATGATGAAATGTTGCAAAAATTAGTGAAAATAAAAATAAAATTAAAAAAAAAAAAACACATAAAAAAATATTCTAACGACTTTGTAAATATCTTAGCTTGACGTGTTCCCCAATATTTAAATTAATTTTTTAATAATTTCTTAATTCAAAGTTTCGCATGTAAAAACTAATTTTATAAATTGAATTCTTCACTTTGTCGAAACAAGCTGCAGATATGTTTTTGTTTTTTCTGCTTTTTATTTTTAATAATTGATAAAAATGCTTAATCATTTATACGAATTCATCATTCATTCATCATTATAGAGCATATATAGTCTAGATTAGCAGCAACAGCCGAGTTGCCATGTCCGTCCATCCGTCCGTCTGTCTGATTCTTTGCGAACTGGTCTCTCAGTTTTAAAGCTTCGTCTTGACAGCTTGCATCGGTCTGACTTTTCGTTGCAGGCAACAGAAATCCTTGTATCAGTCGAATGGGATCCCTATATCTTATAGCTGACATGGGAACGATCGGTCGAAGATCAGTTTCAGATTATAAGCTTAGCATTTAAAGTTTTACTATGCTTTTAGTACATATGCTAAGTGTTATCTATATGGGACACTATGTCATAAAGCTGTCATGGGAACGATTGTCCAAAAATTAGGTTCTATGAAAAACCTTATTGTACATCAAGATATCTTGAACAACCCAGGCATTTACAATCTCTACTACAAATCCCATCAAGACCGCTTTACTATATTATATAGCTCTATAGGCAGAATCCGTCATAAAATGCGTTTTTATTCTATTTTAAACGATATTTTCATCAAACTCAGCATGGACGAACTTCACTCTTCTCATATATCTGCTAAAGCGTAAGGCAAATCTCTACAAGAGTATTAACTCTTCGGTGTGCCATAGATATCCCAACTTTCTCGCCTTTTCAATTTGTTTAAAGGCGGCAGACTATGAGAGTTAGAAGGTTGCGTAGCTTAAAGAGAATTTACATGGAATGGGTATTCAACAAAGATGAACTAGGATCATATTTTAGATGTTCTTTAAAAAATTAAAAAAGTTTTTTTTTGTAACTTTTTATACCCTGAACCCATTAAAAATGGGTATAAGGAGGGTATATTGGATTTGTGCAAAATCCAAATGTATGTAACAGGCGGAAGGAAGATATGACGTTCCAAAACGACATAACTCCGCGCGGAGATATGACCTTCCACAACGACATAACTCCGCGCGGAGATATGACGTTCCAACACGACATAACTCCGCGGAGATATGACGTTCCAAAACGACATAACTCCACGCGGAGATATGACCTTCCAAATCATCAGGTTTTTTTTTTTTCGAAAGAGAGGACGGTGCGTAAATCGAAACTTTTTCGAGAGATATGACCGGAGATATGACGTTCCAAAACGACATAACTCCACGCAGAGATATGACGTTCCAAAACGACATAACTCCGCGCGGAGATATGACCTTCCAAAACGACATAACTCCCCGCGGAGATATGACCTTCCAAATCATCACGTTTTTTTTTTTCGAAATAGAGGACGGTGCGTAAATCGAAACTTTTTCTAGAGATATGACCGGAGATATGACCTTCCAAAACGACATAACTCCGCGCAGAGATATGACGTTCCAAAACGACATAACTCCGCGCGGAGATATGACGTTCCAAAACGACATAACTCCGCGCGGAGATATGACGTTCCAAAACGACATACCTCCGCGCGGAGATATGACCTTCCAAAACGACATAACTCCGCGCGGAGATATGACCTTCCAAAACGACATAACTACGCGCGGAGATATGACGTTCCAAAACGACATAACTCCGCGGAGATATGACGTTCCAAATCATCACTTTTTGTTTGCGAAATAGAGGACGGTGCGTAAATCGAAACTTTTTCTAGAGATATGACCGGAGATATGACCTTCCAAACCGATATAACTCCGCGCAGAGATATGATGTTCCAAAACGACATAACTCCGCGCGGAGATATGACGTTCCAAAACGACATAACTCCGCGGAGATATGACGTTCCAAATCATCACTTTTTGTTTGCGAAATAGAGGACGGTGCGTAAATCGAAACTTTTTCTAGAGATATGACCGGAGATATGACCTTCCAAACCGATATAACTCCGCGCAGAGATATGACGTTCCAAAACGACATAACTCCGCGCGGAGATATGACCTTCCAAAACGACATAACTCCGCGCGGAGATATGACGTTCCAAAACGACATAACACCGCGCGGAGATATGACGTTCCAAAACGACATAACTCCGCGGAGATATGACGTTCCAAAACGACATAACTCCACGCGGAGATATGACCTTCCAAATCATCAGGTTTTTTTTTCCGAAATAGAGGACGGTGCAAAAATCGAAACTTTTTCGAGAGATATGACCGGAGATATGACGTTCCAAAACGACATAACTCCACGGAGATATGACGTTGCAAAACGACATAACTCCACGCGGAGATATGACGTTCCAAAACGACATAACTCCACGCGGAGATATGACCTTCCAAATCATCAGGTTTTTTTTTTTTCGAAATAGAGGACGGCGCGTAAATTGAAACTTTTTCGAGAGATATGACCGGAGATATGACCTTCCAAAACGACATAACTCCGCGCGGAGATATGACGTTCCAAAACGACATAACTCCGCGCGGATATATGACGTTCCAAAACGACATACCTTCGCGCGGAGATATGACGTTCCAAAACGACATAACTCCACGGAGATATGACGTTGCAAAACGACATAACTCCACGCGGAGATATGACGTTCCAAAACGACATAACTCCGCGCGGAGATATGACGTTCCAAAACGACATAACTCCGCGCGGAGATATGACGTTCCAAAACGACATACCTTCGCGCGGAGATATGACGTTCCAAAACGACATACCTTCGCGCGGAGATATGACGTTCCAAAACGACATAGCTCCACGCGGAGATATGACGTTCCAAAACGACATAACTCCGCGCGGAGATATGACCTTCCAAAACGACATAACTCCGCGTGGGGATATGGCGTTCCAAAACGACATAACTCCACGGAGATATGACGTTCCAAAACGCCATACCTTCGCGCGGAGATAAG